GGTCAGAAGAGCGGTGATTAATTTTCTATACCTGCGCACATAGTGCCAGCCAGGTCAATCACAGTAGTAAATCAAGGCACTATTATAATCTTTAATTCTAACAAATTTTACTTAAAATTCCAGGCATAGAATACAATTTTAAATGAATGGAAGCTAAATGGAAATGTTTAATCTTTGGTGGAAGAAAATAGTTCTAATGAATGTGTTTTCGGCTTAAATGTGAAAATATTGTCTTTAGGATCAAACGTATGCCGGATGTGTAGTAATTGTGATAATAGTGGTTTAATGCACTCCAAGATGTGCAGTATACACTGTGTCAGGTGGGTCTTCACCTCCGCAGTTGTGTGTTTTAAAAATGTACAGTGCACATCTTGTTATGCATTAACCCTTGCATATTTTCGGTATAGGTTGTTTGAAGGGACTGATATTACTCCTATTTTACTGTGTCATTTACTAAAAATGAGCCATGTTAAGTTATTTTTCTCTGTATAAAAACCTTAACATTTGGGAAATGTCGTAGAGCATTGCCTAGTCGATCCACTTGTTGCTGTTCTAGGAAGTGTTTGAAAAACCAACTCTGGCTGCTTGGGATGTGACTCTTAGAAAAATGTCCATCCACTTCTCCATGGCAACGTGTTCCTTTTCATAAAACCAAATAAAATCTGTTCAGGTCGTGCTGTTTCCCACCAAGGAGTAGCTGCAGTGAAAAATTGATTTTATTTCTGTTAAATAGTCAAGTGTGGATGGAAATATTCAGCCCACAATATGGTTGGTAGCAGTGGGGAAAGTGCCAAGCGGGCTTTGGGGTCTCATAGATGATCAGAAATAGTGTTTTCCTCTCAGACACAGCAATGCATAACCTTGACTAGTGACATTTTGAAATGAGCGAGTAGTGCTGCAGGCTTGTAAAGGCTCATTTGATGAGTCACATCCTTTGACCTTGTACACCTGTATGAAAAACATCTGAACAGCTGGCCGAAGTTGGCCGGCAGATTAAATGTACAGTGCACCACTGAGCAGAAGGGGCATTATGGGTAATGGACATCAGCGTTCCCATGTCCTTTTTAGGTTTCTTCCAGTGTGACTGTCGGGTTCTTTAGTGTCTCCTGTGGTTCCTTTGTCAAGGATGAGCAGAATCTGTTCAAGTTGTTTAAGCTTTTAATTCTTTTTCTGTATATGCTGTCTCTGAAAAATTGATGTTCATCAAACATTCATAAGGGTCAGCTTCTTCTGATCATGATTCCATTCCTTTCAGAGAAATGGCATTGTTTTGGTATTTCAGCATCTGTCTGACAAAATGCTTTTTGAGGAGAAAACTAAATTAGTATTAGTGGTATTAGAAAGGCACATAAAAACAAAAAGATGGAAGCATTTCTGATTTGAAATTGTCTTGTTTAGAATGTTATGTTCCTATCCATCCATCCATTCAATTTCTGTAACCGCTTATGTTCTCATTGGGAAAAAATAAAAAATGATAGAATTTTGCACTGTAATTAGAATTAATCAAGCTATTAAACTAAGTTGGTTTGCTTTATTAACACCTTATTTTATTTTAGTAAGGAGTGCCAGTACCTTTGGCAGACAAGTCTGAGTTTTTCAGTTTTTTTTAAAAGCATTGCATAACTTTTAAGGGAGGGGGGTGTTTGATGCATTACAGCCAACCCTTCAGGAAGTTGACAATCAAGGCTCTGGGCTAGAAGATGAGCTTTGGGGGTGAGAGCCTCAGAACCAGGTGTCTGAATAATAGACCGATGACCTTTCCTGTTCATTGAACTGGAGCCAGTATGTCTGTTTTTGGTGGTGTGTGCTCTGTTTGGTGTTGCAAGTGTAAGTGCAAATACTGTATAGGATAAGTTCACTCCTGAAATTCCTTTTGCTTTCCTTAAATCTGAATTTAAAACTTGAATAATGGAACATCCTATTGACAAAGCTGATGGATAATACAATGTAAGGTAGATTAGATGGAACTTTTTGGGGGGAAAGAATAAATACAATTGCAAAACAATGTACCAGGTGCAAAATGGGTTTGCATAATTTGGGTCATGATTGCAAGATAATAGTGATGTTTTAATGTTTGGGAAGTATCTCCTCTTCTTTAATAATAAATACCCCCATAGCATTTCGTGTGAGTGTTCACGTGTGAGTGTTCACGTGTTAATGAAAAGGCCTGGTCACTGGTCAATGTTTTGGCCAAAGTGAGTCTTTAACACTTCTTCATCGTCTTGGCTTTAAGAGGTAGGTTTGCCATCCCTGACTGATAATTTGAGCAGATTTCCTGTGGATACATCACTGTGGTGCCCATTTGGATACATGCTCATTGACTCCCTGTGTATCCGCCTTTGGAAATGTCACAGTCTGCTCTCCCCTAATCAATTTGTGTTTTTTATTTTTTTTGTAGAGCTACTGGACGGACAGCTAATTTTTACTCCGAGAGGCTCAGCTCGCTGCAGTATCGCTGTCTGAATGAACAGGCATCCCTTTCATTTTAAGTTGTCTATATACATTGTAAACAGAGTTGTCTTTGTTTCTAAAGGTTGATGGCTCGAGGAAATTTATCGTTCAGGGGGTTTGCGTTTCTTAGGTTTCACAAATGTATCCTAAAACACTGCAGTGTAATTAGTAACAACAGCGGGGCTGTACACCTTATGTGCATTTCCTACTGCTGTAACTCAGCACTTGGCACTACAGGAAATGGTCTTATCACTCTCTGCTGTTCCTGTCAGAAGGTCAGATAAAGAACAGTAGAGATGTAGACAGCAGGGCATGAAACTGTCATTTATTTCCACTGAAAGTCTCTCTTCTAGATTAAATGACTTCAGTATTGCTCAGTTACAAGGTCAGTAATATAGTTTTCTGTGAAAAGTACAGATTATACTTTGTCCTGCCAAATGCCCCTGGATCTCTGCTTTGCATTACTGTGGTCAGAAATGAGTCATACAGTATGAAGTAGCATTCACAAGACCAGAAACGGTAACTTCACCTATTCCATAGTGACCATACTTCCCTTAGTAGTGAGTCAACGGCACATGGCTGGCCTTGAACAGCAGACGGACTGCGAATGCAGCATGGAACGTAGCAGACCTTTGTATCTCAGCAGTCCTGCTGACTCCAGTGGAAACACAGCCTTGAAGCTCCCTCGGCCTCCTTCCTGTCCTTAGACAGCGAGCTGTGATGGAAGAGAGCTGAGCTGAGCTGGACTCTCAGCACTCGTTCCATTTGGGGGGTGGAAATGCTCTCTGAAGTGTAGTTTGATCACGGTGCAAGTGTTTCAGGGCCAGACGGTTGCAACAGATATATTCCACAAATAATTATAGTACTTGTATCAGGGGAATTTGTGGCAGTTAGTGAAAATAGCTCTGCACGGGCTTGGCTCTGAGGTAATGTTTAAACCAAAGGCGTTCTCCATAACGCTCCACACTGCCAGCGACAATCGCCGATCAATCCGTAACGCGCTCGGTTTGGCAAGCGGCCAGTAGCTTTAGTCAGAAGACGTTGCTAGGATCGTTCACAAGGGCCGCCAGCTATCGATATGGCTTGTGAATGAACACCACCCCCGCTTTGGTCCTCTGTCTAGGCGAACAGGTTTGTATGTGTACTTAGAGCCTTAAGAAAAGTGGGATTATAAGATCCTTTTAAATAATTTGCTTATAAGTAGTGGTATTTCTCAGTATGTTCTTGGTTCTAATCACATAGAGTGGTCCCCCACTTAATAGCAGATTTTCTTTTTGCGGTTTCATTTGCCAAAAATATTTATGGAAAATTCCAGAAATAATTCATAAGTGTTAATTTGAGCGCTGTTCTGAGTATAATGATAATCTCGCACCACCAGGGATGTGAATCATCCCTTTGTCCAGTCTATCCACTCTGTATATGCTACACTCCCATGAGTCACTTAGTAGCCATCTTGGCTATCAGATCGTGTACCGCGAAATCTAAAGTAACCCTTTAATATAAATGTTCTATTTCATTATTAGTTAATGTCAACTCATATACTATATATATAAAGGGTTCGGAACCTTCTAACTATGGCTGACTTAAAACTAAACCACTTATGATAAGGAATCTATACCTTTAAATTATTCTCTGATGACACCTAGGTACCTTGGAAAGGATTGCGAGTAACTTGGTTTGCGAGTGTTTTGCAAGACAAGCACAATTTTAAAATAAATTTTAACTTGATAAACGAGCGAGGTGTGGGATTGTGGGTAATCATCTCCCATGCTCAGTCTCAGTCAGCGTGCCTCACTCGTACTGTATATAGTCCAAATTTAGTATAATAAGGGTGTAGCAGCGTAAACGATGAATCTGTTTAACGACAATGCAATGTCCACATTTCCGCGAAATCGAAAAGGAGGCAAAATCGGGCGTCATTGGATAGGTTCCTTGTTTAAAGTCGCACAAAAAGAAAAAGATTCCAGTGAGCCAACAGAGAGCAGTGATTCCATTAGTTATAGTGAAAGTCGTCCTACAAAATAACCCTCCTCTTCCCCTCTCTCTCGTCTCCCTCACACCATCCACGATTCTTTTCAAAGGTCATGTTCAGGTTAATTTAATGTATTTTTACTTTATATTTTGTATTGATCATTTTTATGTTAATATTTTTGGATTGTGAGTTTCCATTATTTTTAATAGGAAAATTCGCTTTGATATATGAGTGCTTTGGATTACGAGCACGTTTCCGGAACTAATTATGCTCGCAAAATCTGAGGTTTTACTGTATAATTTTCCTTACTTGGGAGTTTTTGGTTCTTCTCCTCTGTTGTCTTCCGGCTTTCTTTATTTAATTTCTTTCCTTCCTTTTTCCCGTTCTGTACTTCTCTCTAATGATGTTTAATGTATCACAAGACATCCATGTAAAGCGCTTTGGGACAACGCTGTTGTGAAAGGCGCTATATAAAAATAAATTGAATTGAATTTAGTTTTGAAGGCCCAGAATTATATGACTAGACCTATAGGACTGTTACAATTTTGCACAATGCTTTTGTCATGAATGGGCTGAATGTGGTCTTTGTTGCATGTTCGGAAATGTTCAAAATAAATCCAGTTTTCCATCTTCCGCATACCTATCAAGTGCAGGGGTGTGGGAGGGTTTGGAGCCTATCCCAGGCTGCAGAGGGCACAAGGCAGGGATACAACTAGGATGGGAGGTTTCCCATTGCATAGGAATTGGATTTTCTACCTGTTATTTACATTGGGAGCACCCACCTTCCAAGCGAGAAAACACATGCTCCACACTTCTGAAAATACATGGACGGGAACATGGTAAGCATGCACAGTACTCGATTAGCACTTGTTAGAAGCACATAATGCCTGAAATGCTTTGGTGTATGCTAGCATGGGGTGGCTTAGATTTCTGGGAGACTTGGTAAAGTGCAGAGGTGCATAGTTCAGGTCCAAAAAGTAAAAATCCAGACCACGATTTTGTTTCAACCAACCAGTTCAGTTCTCTGTGACTGTGACCCTTTATGCGCAACTGGTTGGTTGAAACAAAATCTTGGTCCGGATTTTTCCTTTCTGAACCTGAACTGTCTACCTCTGGTAAACCAAAGGTTGGATTTGGGGATCGGGGCTCTGAATGAGCTGCCTATACCTTTAATTGATTTCCCTTTATCTTTTCGTCTTTTTTTTTGGCACCATCAAGCCTCTCTTTCATCCTAACAAGCATCTCAGTGCCTAATGAAGGTAAAAGGGTACTGCTACAGCCAGGCTTTACTGTAAGAATTCTGTGCCTCAAGTTATGCAGTTATTGGCTTTCACCATCTTCTTGTCATTATTGTAAAATATTATCATCTTGCTTTCATGAGACCTCTGTTTCCCACATGGTTTCAGAAATCCCAGGATGTTTTGCATACTTTAAACGAGTCTGTGGACCCCTCTTTTTAAATAAAAACGCTTTTCCTGGCGCCCTTTCGTAGAGCCTAGATTTGTCTGGAGTTATGATTGTCTTGCTGATTTGTTGACACAAAGGCCTTCAAAATGACCATCGGATTCTTTCCTCGTTCACTTCCGTATGGTGAGGCAGTGTAATCTAAGTAAGGTGACAGCATCGCGCTTGTAGCTCAGTGTAATTCTGTACTGTGAGAAGCCCCACCTAGTAAATCAAGCTATTAACAGCTGCCGTTTTTCTGGACAAATTGTGATCATTACAATGGAGCACAGGTGGAGGCTAATTAGCTTCTTGGCATGTGTTAAGCCTTCGGTCGTATCTGAAATGATGACTGTTACTGAGGGTGTGCACATTTATCCAATGGAAATCTTACTTTTATTTTTAATAAATTTTCTGAATGTGTTGGTTTTTTGATTCTGACCTAAATGTTGTCTGGTACAATGTCAAAATAAAGGTAAAATCCATCTGGTATAATATGTTTGTGTCCGACTGTAATTGCAGCTGAATTTTTAAACCATGTGTAGATTTTCCATATGTTCTGTGTCTGTTTTGGTTATTGGTCATGGAAATACTGTTGGGTACTCTTAGTTTTGTATGCATTTCTTTCATATATTTGTTTTATAGGTTAATGGCTTTTGGTAAGGTTTTTATATTTGTCTTAACATTGTCCTCTAGATATTATATGGTTTTATAGTTAGGGATGCACTCAAAAAGGGTGTTTTATGTAAAATATATTTTTTTAATGTAACTGTTAATTTAGCTTTGTGAACCACTGAGTTGAATAACTCCCCTGTTAATAGTAAGAAAGCTGTAACCACTTGTAGCCTGTATCGGTGAAACCCTAGAGGAGATGGTGCAGGATGAGGTTAACATGTCGTTTATTTTATCCTCGTTATGAAGTGTTCATGCAGGTTGTCAGATGCCTCCCTAATTTTCCAGCTTACGCTGGAATCCGATTCATTACTCGTTTAGCGGACAGGTAGTGACCCATGATTTGTTCTGTTCTGTGGGGGTGTGGCTCACAATCATTTTTAAATTTCAAAATTTGCACTTTCTTTATGCTTCAGTTTCATTCACTTGTGCCCTTTTTTAGTGGCGCATGTTTTAGGATGCAGTTTTGTCATCTGGGACCCTTCAAGCCATAAAACACAAAATGTTAGATTACTGCCTTAGCTTTCATTTTTGCAGAGGCACAGTCCACTTGCGTTTCTGCATGAACGGTCGATGTAACGTCAGTCTGAAAAGGACTGTGACTTTAGGCTCGTTAAAGCTGCTGCCGGCTAGCTTGTCCAGCTCACCTTCAGTTCACCAGGACGTGGCACCGGTTGCCTCAGCGCTCCACAGCTGGGGGGGGGGCTCGTGACAGAGGCTCGCTGGGGGCTTATGAGACATACCACACATACCACAACTAGCGGCTGAATGGCAGACAGGAAGTGACCGTGCTCAGCCTTCAGGCAGCCAGAGATGGCCGTATTTCCCTGGGGGGGGGGGGCTGCTCAGTCAGCCTAAAGTAGGTTACACTGTGTAAACTAGGACTTTAGACAGTGCCTCTCTTCAGGATTTCACTCTGTAAAGAATATGATAACCGAAAGTTCCTTAATTAACAGGCAGAATACTGTTTTCCCTAAACTCATCAGGAGCTATGGTATAATATTTGTAATGGAGGTGCAGTTACATTTTGTATCCTTTGAACACTAAAGGAGAATAATTAAAATTTTTGTTTTTTAGGTCATGTAAGCCATTGGAAAACCAGCTAGTCAGAATAGATGCTGTTTATCTATTTACATTAATAATCCCAGTCCCCCATTTAGGGATATGATTTCTGGTAAACAATGGGTGTCTGCCGGTAAAAAATAAAAGCCCAAATAAAAGGATAACTTTGCATACGCTGTTGCACAATTTACATACTACTTAAATGCTCTGTTTCCTCAGCCTTGTTTTCCATTCTGCTGTGTTGGAACAGAAGTATCTGTTGCCTAGTTTATCTTGTAGAAATTTCCTCCTTCACTTTATCCAGAGACAATCTGCATGTCTGACTTCAACAGTAGACACTGATATGAAATGCCCACAAGTGTCAGGCTGTTATATTTTTATTAATGTATGCTACTGTTATATGATTTGTTTGAAGACCAGTGTGTAGCACATTCTCTTTAAAGTCTGCGATTTTTAAAAACTGCTCAGATATATCAGGGTAATCAGTTACCAGTGGTAGAACACACAGACACGCGGACTCATCAGCCGGCCAAAATGTCCTGAAACTACCTCATTGCTTCAGGTTTTTGCTGGATGTTTTTCTGCAGAAACCACCGTTGGATATCCAGCCATGTGTGTGTTACAGTGCCTCTAACCATTTTCTTATTTCCTTTTAGTATTATGTGCCAAGAACCTGGTGAAGAAGGACTTCTTTCGTAAGTAAATGCTTTGCTATTTTGGTGCTCTGCTGCTGCTTGGTGTGGGAAGTGTTCTGCCTGTCAGGGTTCTCCTTTCATACAGCCTTTTTTCACAGAACAGAATTTCCCATGTTCCTGCACTATGTTAACTTGAAATTAGATACAAAGAGAATTTGAATAAAGAAATAACAGAGGCTGAGTTGACTTTTTTTTTTTTTTAGGGGGAGGGGGGTCGGTATGACACACTTCAGGTGACACTTCCATTCATTTTCCATTGCATTTGGGGACCCCCAGACACTCACGAGGACCTGGGAAAGGGCAAACCGTGGACTGCCTGGGGGTCCCTGAGTACTGGTTTGAGGAACACTCCTGTACATTACCCAGTCTTGTTGGTGGACCTAAAACTTAACTGGCTTTTTCATGTACTGCTCACTTTGGGTCATTTCAACTTTAGTGAGATCCTGACGTATAGTCTCTCCAACTCTAAAACCTTTTAATCATGAGCTACTCATAGCGATTGGCACTGAAAATGCCAAAGACGCCTGTAGACCTGCAGCTCTTACACTGGGCTTGATCATGACATCCGAAGAGCAGTGTTTCCCAATCTGGTCCTCTGGACCCACAGTCGGTATTTGCTTCCCCCTGCTCCCTAGCAAAAACGTGGGCTGTCCATGGGTCCCCATTGACCAGATTGGGAAACACTGTCCTGGAGTATTGTTGTTTGACTCTTGGAGTGATATTTATTGGAAGCAATAGTGTTTTTCTTCCCTTCGTTCTCATTTGCTTGTAAACTACCTGCCCTTGGACTGATGCAGGTCCTTGGAGAGGCTTTGGTAACTCTGTATAGCCTCAGGAGCATCAGCAGCTTGGGCAAATTTCATATTTCACTTGGCTCATTTTCATTTCCACAAACCTGCATTCTGAAGAACAGACCATGTCATTGAAAATTTCACATGTTTTTTTTAATTTTTTTTTTTTAAACTTGGACCCTACAAACATGGAACTAAACCTCATTTCTCCTGTTTCATTTACCCTGTTTATGGAGCTGATTATTTCAGTGGCTTTCATTTAGTGGTGTATTGGCTCATTGTATGTCTCCTTCTTTTAGTCAGATTCTCTTAATGCATTTTGCGGTTTACTTAAGGATCTTATAATACTGGTCAAAATAATTCAGTTAACACACCACCTCTCAAAATCGGGGACAGTCAGCAATAAGAGTGACAATTTTTTTTGTAGCTAGAATCCTGACAGAAGGTCCTCCCAGTCTTAAAATAACAGCTCAGGCAGTATCCACTAGCATCACATAGAAACGATAAATGAACTCTGACTCAAGCTTGCGGTCTACAAGCCACATGTAGTCCTGTAATGTTCTGTGGTCTAGATTTTTTAAAATAAGGCCACAGCAATCTCTGCAACTGAGCTGACCATTTTGAAACAGAAGAGCCTTCCCAGCACTGTGCTCTCTCACACTCAGTGTGGATGCATGCTCAAAGTCAGTAAGGATGAGCTCTCCAGCACAATGGTGTCATGAGATTCCCACTGCCTACTTCAAAAAAATCCATATTCCAGATCTAAAACCCGATTAGGTGTCTCAAAATCAGAGAACACACACCCATCTACTTTTGTCCTTTACTGAAATATATCTCATAATTTATCCCATAATTTAATTGTTAACCGCAGCTTCGCTATCAACTTGCCTTCTTTTTTTCTTTTGTCTCTTCAGGGCTTCTGTGGTCTGTTCTCTATATTCTGAGCAGATGTTTAGACACTGGAGTCGACTAGTGAACGACATCAGTTTTCAGAGTTCCCTTCCATTGTGTGTTTCACCCCGTAGGTCTACCGGACCCTTTCGCCAAGGTCGTAGTTGACGGATCGGGACAGTGCCATTCCACAGACACGGTGAAGAGCACTTTGGATCCCAAGTGGAACCAGTATTATGACCTGTGAGTGACTCCCCACGCTGCATGACATGCGATCCCAGCTAGGAGCTGGTTGGCCACACGTTTCCTTCTCCTTCTCCGTCTCCAGATATGTTGGGAAGAGCGACTCCATAACCATCAGCGTGTGGAATCACAGGAAAATCCACAAGAAGCAGGGAGCCGGCTTCCTGGGCTGTGTCAAGCTGCTGTGCAACGCCATCAGCAGGCTGAAGGATACTGGCTGTAAGTGCATCCGTCTCCTGTAGTCACTGCAATGGCAACCAAGCCGAACTTGTCGCCATCACTGCAGTCAGCCCTCCCGCTTGTACAAGCTTGCATAAAATCTGCATTTAAGGCAACATTTCTACTTTGAAGAGATGAACGTGAATGGAAACTAGCTCCTATAAAGCTCTCTTAAGAAGTGTTCTGCTTATTTTGTTCAGAATTTGGACTGATTTTTACATGGGTTCATTTTCTTTTCTTGTCCTAGTGGGCATGGGGGAGATGGTTGGTGGATTATTAACTGCTTTGCATCAAAAATAAATGTGGGTGGGGGCTCTTTACATGCTTTTTTTGATGCAAACGATACTTATGTTTGTGTTTCTAATGGCAAACGCTACAAAAAAAATGCCACTTAAGTATGGATGTGTGGGGGGTCGGCATTTACCGTGGCTGGAAATGCTTGCAAGCGCTGCCACTACATCACTTTTTATGCTGCCAGCCCTTTCTAGACCCAAGTTTAAAAATAGTCTGTAGTTCATACCGGGTCACTGTCTCTAATGACTGTAAGGTAGAAAAACAAAGTCCTTCCTGGAAACTGTCACAGCATAGGACGCCCGTTTAGATTTAAACCGCAAACGCGTTTAACCGTTAATCTTTCTGCTCGCAGACCAGCGTCTGGATCTATGCAAACTTAACCTCACTGACAGCGATGCTGTGCGTGGCCAAATAGTAGGTAAGGGCAGAGAGGAGGGCCCCCCGACACGGGCCGCTTTCGGAGGCCCCTTCCCGTCCGCCTGTGCCGTCTGTAACGTGCCGCCCTCCACTCTGCGCCCGCAGTGAGCTTACAGACCCGGGATCGGATCGGAAGCGGCGGGCCTGTCGTCGACTGCCGGGGCCTTTCAGAAAATGAAGGGTGAGTGTGCCGATGATTGTGTGCCGCTTTACTCCCTTCAGAATATGATTGACATGAACGTGTATGAGGGGCAGGCCGACACCAGCCCTTCCCAGGGCCCTAAGCAAAATATGATTAAGCTAGTTGTCATTTGTCATCTTCCTTCTCATTCTGATCTGATGTGGGGGGCCCCCTGGTGGCCACAGGGCGCTAAGCAGCCGCTTAGATCACTTGTGCCTTGGGTCAGCCCTGGATGTTTATCTCTAAAATACAAGGGTGATGAGGGGAGGGGGGATTCTGTACTCTAGGCTGTGGTAGGTGTATTGTGACTTGAGTGGCGCCCCCTGTCCATCAGGCCAGTCTATGAAGACTCTGGGCCAGGAAGACCCCCCAGCTGCCTCATGGAGGAGCCGCTGCCCTACACTGACAGCACGGGGGCGGCAGGCGGGGGCGTCTGCCGCTTCCCGGAGTCACCCAATCAGGAGCAGCGGCTCCAGGTGCAGCGGATAAGGAGCCAGGAAGCCAGAGGCCACGCCCACACACCTCAGAACCGGCCACATGGGCACCAGTCGCCGGAGCTGCCCGAGGGCTACGGTGAGTGCTGACAGAGGATGCCCGCCTAACTGGGCTGCTCAGGAAAATGGCCGTCTGCTCGCCTAAAGCCATTTAAGTTGGCTTCTTCTCACTACAGAGACACTGTTTGTTCCTGTTCACTTGCACTAAAGGCCAGCTGGAACGTAATGGCAGTTTGTGTAGTTACGTTAAATTTCATCCCTTTTATAGCAATGTTTTATGGTGCCATATCGCTTAAAATATGTAGTTCAAGGTAACCAAAAGCAACAGCATTCTAATTCCTTAAGTGCTGTGTTGCCTCATGCCCTTAAATGGCTGGAAAGCCACTGGCCACTGAACCTTGCTCACGCTGCCCTGCTTTCTTGAGTTTGTAGTGCCATGAGGAAGTTGAGCTCCTCAGATCTAGTTCAGGTCCCCAACCTTGAGAAGTACGTGTGAGGTGGGCCGTCGGGCTCCCTGCATCAGGACGGGAGGGACCTCCTGCAGAGCAGATGGTGGTGTCAGATGCTGCAAAAGCCTCATTCTCTCTCAGGGCCTTTTACTGTATAGAGTTCCTGAAATCTAAGCCACCTCTGGCAGCTGATTTTGTTTTATGGCCTCAGATGTTAGCACAGTTAGTAATGGCGTGTAGCAGTTTCCTGTCTGAGATGTTGTGTTTCTGTCCTCTTTCTACAGAGCAAAGGACCACAGTCCAAGGGCAGGTTTATTTTTTACATACGCAGACTGGCGTAAGCACCTGGCATGACCCAAGAATACCACGGTAGGCTAAAGACCAGTTTATCCAAAGTGTGTGCCATGATGTTAATATCTTATGCTTTGAGTTAAACAAAAACTTCTGGCTTCATTGTTAAGGTAGATGATTTACAGACATTGGTGTTTGATTCAGTCTGGCCGCTGTTTCGTCGTACCATTTAAGCTCACAAACTCATTCGTTTTGTCTGCTTGGAGTGCAGTACCATGTCTGAAAGGTGGAGGGGGCTAGGGTGCGCACGTGTGCGCGCACACACACGCACACACACGCACACGCACACACACACACACACACACACACACACACACACAGAGAGTGCTGTATTGGAGCTTCAACCCAGCTTCTCCCTCAGGGATCTGAACAGCGTGAGCTGTGAAGACCTAGGTCCTCTTCCCCCAGGCTGGGAGGTCAGGAGCACAGTGTCGGGGAGGATTTATTTCGTGGACCATAACAACCGGACGACACAGTTCACAGACCCCCGGCTGCATCACATCATGAGGTGATTATTGCCTGTAGGAGCCCTGGTTGAAATGGTAGCACTGGTCCCCCGCTTCTTGCCTATGCGATGACTGTCAGAGGCCCTGCAGTCAGTAGTGTGTCAGTCGTGTCAGAGACACAGAGTGGATTGAGCAGAATTAAGGAGCTTCATCTTGATTGGACCGTATACCGTGATCAGACACTTTACCTTAATGTGCCCTTTTAGTTGCTACCGTCACATGTGTGCTTCTGCAATGCGTGTAGCCCAGCGTGACCCACGTGTGCTTCGCATGCCAGTCAACATTCACAGGCGAAGGAGTCGAGCCAGGCCCTCCCGGCGCCGGGGGAGACCCCCGTGGATGAGGGGCCCGAGGGCGAGCTGCCCGTGCGCTGTGAGCGTGACCTGGTGCAGAAGCTGAAGGTGCTGCGTCACGAGCTGTCGTTGCAGCAGCCCCAGGCGGGCCACTGCCGCGTCGAGGTGTCTCGCGAGGAGATCTTTGAGGTATCTGAACCCCAAATGTACCGGTGCTCTCTGCTTCCGGTTGTTCCACCTTCTTACATCACCTGCTTTACAAGCCTTTCATTGTGTCCCTCCTTCCATCTTCATTTGCATTTGCAAGCTATGTTGCTTCTCTATTCAGTTTTTTTTTTGCTAATTGCGGTCTTGGTTGTGCCCAGTAGGTGTCAGTGTACTGCACCTCAAACACCAGACTCACTGATGCTCAGGGGTACTATATAAACTAGTAGAGCCCTTCTCTCATGGTCAGTACAGGAGTACAATAATAATTTAGATGGTGCTGTGTGTCTATCTTTCTATCTAATCTATCTAGCAGACTGTTTTGTGTAAAAGTAACATACACGTAGGGTAAGCACTTGTCCGGATTTTGTCGGGGCAGTACAGTGTTTTCCACACTCTATCCAGACTGCTGTTGGGTGTCCTCCTTTTGGCCCCCTTGTCAACCTCTTTCCCACCCCCCCTACCTTCCTCCCAATCACCAACTGGCGCCACTCAATTCAACCCCCAATAGCACAAATAACATGGAACGGAAACCAAGAATAAGCATGGTTGAGATACATTTTTTTTATGCCGTTCTCTCTACATAAAAAGATACATTTTGTGATAGATATACCATTCTGAGCATCTGTAGTATTTGTACACCCCCAATAGCTTTTCATAGGTGTCCCATGAAAAGGTGTCCTCCTTTTTAAGCCTTAGTCTTCCTATTTGGATATAGGTGTCCTCCTTTTTAAAGCCTTTGTCCTCCTATTTGGACAAGGGTGTCCTCCTTTTTAAAGCCTTTGTCCTCCTATTTGGACAAGGGTGTCCTCCTTTTTAAAGCCTTTGTCCTCCTTTTTGGATATAGGTATCCTCCTTTTTAAAGCCCTTGTCCTCCTATTTGGACAAGGGTGTCCTCCTTTTTAAAGCCTTTGTCCTCCTATTTGGACACAGATGTCCTCCTTTTTAAAGCATTAGTCCTCTAATTTGGACAAGGGTTTCCCCCTTTTTAAGCCTTAGTCATCCTATTTGGACATGGGTGTCCTTTTTAAGCCTTAGTCGTCCTATTTTGACACAGCTGTCCTCCTTTTTAAGCTCTAGTCCTTCATTTTGGGCATGGGTGTCCTCCTTTTTAGTCATGTTGGTGGTCACCCTATGTATAAGTGAGGAAACCATTCGACCAGCCAGCATAGAGAATCTGGAGGTTAAGGGCCCTGCTCACGGGTGACATGGTCACTCTGCCAGATATGGGGTTTGACCCCACAACCTTCTGTGATTACTTATTAGTCTTGTTCTTTTTTAAGGAATCTTACAGGCAGATTATGAAGATGAGGTCTAAAGATCTGAAGAAGCGTTTGATGGTAAAATTCCGTGGAGAAGAAGGCCTCGATTATGGTGGTGTGGCAAGGTAAGTCAAATCTAGATAGCTGAAAGACATGACAAGACTGCCCATCTCACTGCTCCATTCATTACTATTGTCGCAAAAACAGATGCATTGCATACTTCTTACCAGAATAAATTCTGTGTGCTTTGTTAGGGAGTGGTTGTATCTCCTTTGTCATGAGATGCTGAATCCATACTACGGACTGTTCCAGTATTCAACTGATAACATATACACCTTACAAATTAATCCTGACTCCTCCATCAACCCTGTAAGTATTAAGTCTGTTCCGCTTAAGTAAAATATCCTCTTGACAGAAGATGGTCTTAAATCGACGGAATTATGTGATCCTTATGCAATTCTTTCAATCATGTAAGTCAAGCGCTTGAATTTTTCTGTGGACCTGAAAGGGCTCGTCTCTCGTAGGACCATTTGTCTTACTTCCACTTTGTGGGTCGGATAATGGGCCTGGCCGTGTTCCACGGGCACTACATCAACGGCGGCTTCACGCTGCCCTTCTACAAGCAGCTGTTGGGGAAGCCCATCCAGCTGTGCGACCTGGAGACGGTGGACCCCGAGCTGCACAAGAGCCTGGTGTGGATCCTGTGAGTTCCGCCTCGTTGGGATTAGCCGCCCGGCGTCTGAGCTCCTCTGCCGAGGCCTCGGGATGCTCCTGGCCTCATTAACACCGTCATTTCTAGGAACTCTTCAAAGGCGGAATGTAAGCAGCGATGCACTCGGGCACGACTGCGGCATATGGCTGCCGTCGGCCCGCGGAGCCGCCTAGGCCATTGGCACCGTATAAGCATTAGGCACGGTCTCGAGAGCCTTAACAATACCTCAGACATGCTGGGACCAGCAGCTGCTGGTGCGTCGCTACAGTGTTAAGGGGTTTTACAAGGAAACCTTTACATAAAGTATTAAAAACCCTCATCAAATTTATCCCAGGGTATTTCTCACCAATCCTTTTTAATACCCGCTATTCTGAAAAGATTATGACTAAATTTGAACTATATTGGTGGAGGCATCACTTCCCAGAAGCCTGCAGTCACACACTCAAGGTGAATTGAAGTTTATCTGAAGTACATTTTATCCTTTATCAGTGTCCATATATTAACGGTGATTGACCGGCTAGTTACTAGTTACTAGGGGTGTGCAAAGCAGCCGGTATTTGTATCTGTATTTGTATTTGTTGAGGGGGGAAAAGTATTTGTATTTGTATTCGTATTCGAGTAAAATTCAAAATAGGCGTAAAAATCCAGTTTTTTTGCGTTGCACTTCTAATTTACACTATAGTGTAAGTATTCTTTAATTATATCCATTATAATAATTATGGATATGCAGTAGACAGAGTAACTTAAACGTACCATATAACTCCTACAAGTGCATACAATTCGACACAACTACACAAGCATTGTTTTAACCTTTTTAACCAAACGTTAACGTTACTCTGTCAACAGCCTATTGTCTAAATTACCGAGCTAACAGAGCTACGTACACAGAGCGAACATGAGAGCACCTGACTGCAGACGTCAATAATGCAGCGTAATGGAATAATCTCCCGATCAAACTCCGCTTCCCGAAAGTTATAAACTGCCTCCGGAACCCAGTTAAGGTACAAAAATCTATTCAACAAAAATAGTGATACAGTTAAGTCTTTTTTCGCTCAGCCGAGCCTTCTCTGTTGCTGTGTGGAGCAGCCTGTGTCAGTCACCTCTTTTACAACCGCCCCCCGACTCCTGAACTCACTCACTCATCCGGGCATGCACTGCGGTCTCAAGAGGAAACGCAGCTTTTTGATATAAAGTTTTTCTTGTTCCCGAATACAAATATTTGTTCGAAATAAGTATTCGTAAAAAACACATTATTTGTGCCTTTCCGAATACCGTATTCGGGTTCGTCTCCACCCCTACTAGTTACTATACCATGTACACAGCTAAACGTGAAACCACTACTATATAGCCTTACGCTTCCTACATACACTGCATTTATCCCCTAATTGAATTAGTATAAGTAGGCATGATGACAATGTTCTGATTTGGTTCAGTTACCAGTCACATTATTTTACAAATTACATTTCAGAAATCTGTGAACTCCTGTTTGCTATGTGCGGCCCACTGCCCTGACATACAGGGCTGCTTCTGTAGTCTTCTAATGGTAGGAAACTGAGAAGTTCCCTTTTTGAAAGAGGACCAATGACATTTTGTTCATATACGATCAATATTTGCAAAAAGCCCACATACTTTTTATCATTTAAATATGACAGATGGATCAGTACTCTTTAAGTTAGGAGAGTAGATTTTGAAGAAAAGACATTCTTTTCTCCTAAGACAATTTGTTTTGCCCAAATTCTTCCAAAATAGGTTAAAGTTTTGTTGATATTTTGTGAGCTTTTACATTTATAGTTATTTGTTCTGGACGCTTCAGTGGGTCCGTTATTGTGTTCATATGTTATGTATAAGTGCAATCAGCTCCGCTTTTTTATTTTAAAACACTACATTGACCAAAAGAGTAATGAAGTATTAGTTTTGTTCCTGAGGGTCTTTTAGCCAGCAAAAATATGAGAGAAAGGAGGGGCTGCAGGGCCTGGGATTTTGGAAGAGGCGTGACTGCTGTGTTTATGCAGGCTGTCACGCATTCTCAGCAATCCAGCGATCGTTATCACGCTCTGAGGTGTAAGTGTTTTAGTTTTGAGCAGATTTGTTCCATGAAATTTGAAGCGGTTACAGCACCTGGATTTTTGGAACGCCAGCTTCCCAGCAGATTTAATGGAGTTCTGGGGTTAAACAGGACGCCCTTGTGCTTAAAGATAATCGACACAGTGAGCAGGTATATACACATACGTGCAGTTCAGCTTAACAGGAAATAAATCACAGCTCGGAACGTGGATAAATTAGCATCCAGGAACAGGGAAGTCAGTTTTCAAAGGAGCGCTACAGTATGTGGTGTCCTGTGGCTTAAGCGCCAAGCCATGCATCATCATCACGTTTTTGCACAGTGCTGTTTTGCGTGATCGCTCAGGTATTTTTCTGTGACATTCAGTGACTGAGCTACATTATGATCTATTCACCATAGACTCGCTGCTCATTCACCAGCCACAATGTTGAGCAACTCCACCGGTGTCCAAAAAAACGTACCAGTCCAGCGACTAAATCAAGATGATTGTGTTTACAGAAGCGGTAACTCTGGTTAAACCTGTGAGCGAGATGATCAGCCCAGATCGCCTGAAGTTTCCAGCTGTATAAATCAAGTGTGAAACTACGATTTGTTCCTCGCTTTAGGCTAAACAATCTGCTGTGTGACTTAAACACCGTATAGCTAATGACCACTGAGGTAGTAACTACCTTTGAAGGATAGTTACGTCTGAGTTTGAATCTGGTTCTGTTGTTCTGCAAATTTGTCTCCTGTTGAATTATTTGGATGCACATAAATTTTAAGTATGATTTCAAATGCATATGGAAATTTGGAGTGCACTTAGTTTGCAATAATTTATAAGCTAAGAATGTGTTTTGTTCCTTACAGAGAGAATGATATCACGACTGTCCTGGATCACACATTTTGCGTGGAACATAATTCTTTCGGTAAATTTCTTCAGTATGAACTCAAACCTAATGGTAGAAACATCCCCGTCACAGAAGAGAACAAAAAGGAGTATGTGAGGTGAGGATTTCAAATGGACGCTTCTCTTTCTGACACTTTTGCATGCTAAGGCTTTTGGTGTGACAGCTTTAGTGTTTTTCTTAGACCATTGCGACATTATGTGTGGAAAAAATGCCTTGTTCTTCTAAGAATACATGTAATAAGTTCCAGACATGTTTTGCAATGCAGGTTGCATGCTTTGCTTTACATAATTTTAGCATAAGCAGGATGAATCTGAAGAAATTTGCAAGTTTCCTTCCTCCTTCAAAGCACGAAACATGACGGTCCTGTTTCCTGCCTCTCAGAAGGTCTCCCCAGCTTTCATTGGCCTGTGTTATGAAATGAGTGGATTCATTCACTTTCCTTCAGCCCTGCTCCTCTCTGCTATGTCTGTTTCACAGGCTCTATGTGAACTGGCGCTTCATGAGAGGCATTGAAGCCCAGTTTCTAGCCCTGCAGAAAGGCTTCAATGAGTTAATCCCACAGCATCTGCTAAAGCCGTTCGATCACAAGGAGCTGGAGGTAATGCCGGTTTATCCGGTCGCACACGCTGCGGCTGCCCTCCCGCGTTTGCCGCCGTCCCTAACCTACCTCCGTGTCGCAGCTGATCATCGGCGGCCTGGGCAAGATCGACCTGAGTGATTGGAAGGCCAACACAAGGCTGAAGCACTGTGTGGCCGACAGCAACGTGGTCAAGTGGTTCTGGCAGACGGTTGAGTCCTTCGACGAGGAGCGGAGGGGGCGTCTGCTGCAGTTTGTCACGGGTTCCACCCGCGTGCCCCTGCAGGGGTTTAAAGCACTACAAGGTGGCTGCCGTACAAGCCGAGGCCTGTTTGTGTGACGGGGGGGACACTGTCCTTATCATCATCCTGTGGAGAACAGGCAGCCTGGGGGGCCTTCATACATTAATCATAGAGGTCGAGTGAGTTTTCCCAAACTCCATTAAAATGCATGTGAGTGATTATTTTTAGTTTTTCTGTTTTAGGTTTGTGTGTGTGATCTAATATTTTCTGCAAATCAAAATATAGTAAATTTACATTTTATAGTCGCACCATTTTTCCCAACTTAGCAAGAAATCATGAAATTAATGTCGGAAGTTGGGAATTCACTGTAGAGAAAATGACTCCTATTTTAGCCCGGGCTTGAAGGATCACTGTCGCTTTCAAGGCATAAGTCTTCTGCCGTTCCTGTTTGTTTTTTGTTTTTTTTGCCCAAATTGTATACATTTCTCAAAAGGGGCCATGTTAGCGTTGACTAGAATGTATGTTTGCAAGGTTCTGCAGGATCTGCAGGACCAAGACTGTTTACCATCCACCTGATAGATGCCAACACGGACAACTTGCCGAAAGCTCACACCTGGTGAGATTTTATTGTCCACACGAGGAAAAAAAAGGGAATTACTCAACTTCATATTTAAATTTGCATTGTACTTTAATATTTAAGGAACCAAAAGGCATTTAATTCTATGGATTTTTCTGGGATCACTGGTTCCAGCTTGCTGGAGAGAAGGGAGCCGGTCTTGGCACGTGAGCCCTA